CGTCATTTTTCTCCACCTCGTAATGCAGTGCTTATTTTAAAGTGGCATATCAACCTTTCTCATTCGTGCGTCGAATATAATTGATTCCCGCTGTAAGTGGGGTTTGCAATTTTTTTTCTTTAGTCTCTCTGTAGCGTAATAGCGTTGACCTTGAATTACTTTAATGAGGTGAAAGCGAATGGGTTGAAGAACCAGGTGCGTGGGGTCCCATGTCCAAGGCTCCACTTGTACCGCTAGCCGAAAGTGGTTTAGATGCGCTAGTTGTACCTCAAGGTCCGAGCCAGCAAGGAGTGCCTCCCACTTCTCCAAAGAGTTTTATATTCTATGTATATACTGTAAGCGATTGAGTTTATTAGGCCTTCAATAAGTTAGTTTTCCAGAAATTCTGGGAAATGAACTTTTGGAGTTGGAATTGTTGGTTGTGAGCGAAAAATCATGATCTTTTGCGTGGCCGAAAAATCGAGAAAGATGCAAATGAAATAAATAATTTTTTAAACCTTTTGGGTCTGAGTGAGATACGAGCCCGGGTAGTTTGCGTGGAAAGCAGCTGTTCTATTACACAGTCACACGTCCGCTTCGAAATACAGAGGAAATAATTTCCTGTGTTTGAAATGCAGTGAAAGTAACTTTCGTGCTTTAGAAACACACGCTTGCTGCATGAGTGGTTCAAAATACAACATGTAATAAGACAGTAATAACGGGGGGTACATGCGTACGTTGTTATCGGGCATGTGATCATGTGATTATCAGAATGACTTCATGTTTTACAGCCAGCCGCCTACTACAAGATGTACACGAGTTTTGGCACGTATTACCCAAAGAGGGCTTAGTGGGTGCACAGCAAGTTCGAAAACATTTCCCGCGAATAAATGCTCGTGGTTTAAAGCATGCTACCAATTGCACAGAATGTATTGTAGGGAAATGATATCGCTAGAGTGTTCAATCTTTAAATGCGAAGCTTAAGGATGCACATATTTTTTTTGTCCGAAATGTACCGGGCTGTACGTCTACTAGCGCCGACGCTGACAGAGCTGTGAACACAGCGTTCACACACGTGTGTTCTAGCGAGATGCTACTGGCCGAACTTTTTTTTAAGTGTGAATACACTTTATAAGCGACCCCAAACCATCCACCGCCGTCGGCGGCGTCCGCAGTCTTCTCTCTATCTTTAAAAGAAAGAGGACTTGGCGGGCCGCAGCGCGACGCTCTACCGAATAAGCCACGGACGCGACGCTGATATCGGTGTCAGTAACGCACCTTATACCCCCTCCCCCTTCGCTCGCTCCTCCGCTCTCCTCACTTGCTGCAGCTGCGCGCGCACCCCTCTCTCTCTCGCGCGCCCGCCTTCTCTCTCACTCTCCCGTCGAGAGCGGGTCGTGAGGGGGAGTAAAGTTAAAATCCGTTGGCATTCGCCAGTGAGTTAACGTAAACTCCCCCGTGTGATCAAATTGCGATTCCCAGGAACCATTACACCATAAAGGCACCATAGTGTGATTAATAAATATAATAGTGCCAATTAATAAATACCCCTCATAGCATCACTCCGTGTATTCGCACTTAACCATGTTCACCCTCGGGGAAATGCTTGGGAGTTTTTGTAGCAGCCGTGACTCTACTATAGAAGTGAAGTATGCCATCCCAACCACCATGATGGTCTAGCGGTTATGGGGCTCGCTGGTCGTGGGATCGAATGGCGGTGCGCCTTAAAAAAACCTCAGGTGGACGAAGTTTCCAGGGCTCTCCTGTGCAACGTCTCTGATTAGGATATGGTGGTTTTGGGACGTTACACTCAGTCAGTTATTATTAATCATGAACTGTGTTTTAATGATATATAAAACCTGGTACTCTACTATGGGAGAGCAAAAAGCCGTCCCGTAAACCCCACCTACAACGTGCAGGATTCCTCCTAAATCCCCGACAAACGGATGCAATATGTTGCTAAATGCATCTTCACTGCCTCGTGCCTTGTGAAACCATAGCCTACAGATACTCCACAGTGGCACTGCTGAAAAGCGACACCTCACGAAGCGTTAAAGAAGCTTCACGACAGTCAAGTTAAGGAGATGTTATGCTTGCCTACAGACGTTGTAAACTGTTAAGTAAGTGCACAGCCACAGTGCTTTTATTATTAACGTAAGATTGTACAGAAGGAAGTGAAGCCAGTCGATGTCGTTGTTTTTTGCGATGAGCGATTATATAGACGGTTTCACAAGGTCACAAGCATTGAACCCCAGAAACATCCGGTCACCTCACTTGCCGGTTCCTACCGTCGAAACAGAAAGCACGTTTTCAAGTTCCTTTTAAATGGAAGAAATGTTTCTCTTTAGTTTTTAGATAAAAGAAACGTGCGCAAATTTCAAGGTGATCTCTCATAATTTTATGTAGCTCAAAAGAACATTTATTTGAATATATTTTGCCAGGTATAAAAAGAAAGTGTAAAAAAACTTAGTGGGCTATTTTCTAAACCTCTTCTTGCCCACCAATGCTATTTGGGCACATCGGTGGGCGAAAGCGGATGTCATCGAGGGGCTGTGTATGTGAACAGTGAAAGGGCCTTGCGGTTTGATATTGGTGTCTGTGCCGTTGCCATAATGATGTACTATCGCACTTGACAGCGCATGCGCGCACAGCATAATGACGTAGTCGATTTGGCTACTGGTGGACTAAGCGAAGTGGGCAAGTAAGGTGAACAAACGTTAAGTTCGATAGTCTCGCTGTTGGTTAAAAAGTTATGCTATATTTTCCTGCGCGAATATAAAATACAGTAGAAGCAGTAGTGCAATGACAAGCGTTTCGACAACTGTGCGAATATAAGTGTTAACAATAATACCGTTGTATAAGGCTGCAACAATACTTGCCTTTCTATTTAACTGTGGCATGTATGCATGGTGCGCTGCTCTAAACAGATTGGAAATACTGCAGGCACCTCAAGTAGGTCCGGCCCTGTGGTATATGCGAGGACATTCGCGTAAGGGGGTTGCTATCCTACCTTGTATCTGAAATTCGTCTCCCCAAAAAGTACATTCCTATGTAACTACATACGGGTGTCTCCATTGCAGGCGTTTCTTATATGAAATATTCACAATTAGTATGTAATTCACAAGGCTAGCTGCATGCTGGAATATATACGTCGTAATTTTTACAGGTGCTCTAGAAAGATGAGACGTTTACCTAGGATAGAACAGTGGTAAGGTGTATGTTTGAGTATACCCGCCCCGGTAGACTAGTAGTTGCAGTGTTCAACTGCTGTCACGAAGGTTGCGCGTTCGATCCCGGTCGTGGCGGCCACATTTCAATGAAGGCGAAATGGCATTGGCTCGTACGTATTAACTGCACGTTACAGTTACCGCGGTTGCTCAAATTTTCCGCAGTCCTCCACAACGGTGTCCCTCAAACTCATATGATCGTTTCAGGACATGAAACTCTCACAGTTATTATTAGGCAATCTTGAGTATCACCGCACTGGTATGGTCCACATGACATTAAAAAAAAGACGCCTGCACAGGAATTAGGGCAGTACGTATTATCGTTCGTCTCATCTTATACACTTGCTAGCGCACGGCCAATGTCGCACAAATGACCTCAAGGTTAAACTTTCGCTTAGAACGCTACGTAAAATATCTCGCTGAGGAATTTTTTGTTGGTTGTATTATCACCGCGATGTATTCTTGCAAAGGATGGAGCTCACACATAACTTACCTCAAAAGATTGATCCCACTCGTAAAGTTGTCGTTACAATTGGATGATTTCATTTGGAAGGTCGAACCTTCTACAAGCTTACAACGGGTGTAGTAGTGGTCCAACAGTACTATTCCTCACTGCAAACCACCATTGGAAACAATAGCTAACATTATATGGCTAGAAAAGTCTGTATAATGCACTAGCATGTGTCTCCATGTGCGTTGTGATCTAAATAAATAAATAAATAAATAAATAAATAGACAGCTCACAAGGCCCCTACTGCTTTCATCTAAGACGACTTCAAGGCGAAGGCCATTCTCTTTTTTTTTTTTACTTGATGTGTAAGATGTGGTATGTGGTAAGATGAATATCTTACCAGATACCTGCGATATTTCGGCGTCTAACGTGGTTTTATGCTGTATACTTCCAGAATCGCAGGCATTTTAAGGTTGCTGCACTTAACTTTGTTTGGCACTGCCTCCGGTGCGCTTTTGACCAACCGACGACTTCATTCGATGACGTCGTCATGTCACGCCATTGTGACGTCGTGACGGCGTTGTAGTACCATCACTAATTTGTTGAATTTTCGCCGTCGTGATGACATCATAGAGTCAAGACGCGACGTCTGTTTGTCATTACGATGTCTTTCAGCTCCGCCATCTACCTCCACTGGGAATGTACCACACACTCACCTTGACCGAAGCAGCGCTCAGTGTTGGCGCGTGTTAGCGTTCGTAATGAACTACTTCGGTGCACAGCTCGGAGGTAGCTTCGCCAGCAATTTAATGATTACGCATAAAGAAAATATAGGGGATAGACTTTACCTGAAAACACGCATTCGATGGAGATCCGGTGTCCTAATCGAAAGTGCCTATACTGCGTTGGAGGATGTTGTGTCGGAGGACTCAGGTTGAATTCCTTCATTGGGCTCACGAGTGATACCTTATTATTAACCGTGACCTATTCGTAGCAACAATACCCATAATCACAAATACTCTAGAGGTTGCAAAACGAAGATAAATGCTTCTCGCATAAATTTTACAAAAGAGAGAGAGAGAGAGAGAGCTGAAGACAGCAATGAAGGACGTACAAAACCCGTGAGCGGAGTATCTTTGCTGCCAAACTTGCGTCTTAGATGTTTTGGTAGTTCACCAGGATGGGAGGTACCAAGAGTATACACCCCTTCATCGATGTCTTCAGTTCTTTTTTTTTAATTCGCGAAAGAAACGTTGATCTAGTCTAACCAACAAGCCTATTGTCAAGTTTTTCATAAGTCGGACGAAGCATCGCTATGAAAACTTCACGGAACTATCTCTCACTTTTCTGCTCGGAGCCCGGTGTCCTTGCCGTCTTGGATGGCGAGGTGACACCATTCTTGGTCGGCGCAGCCTTCTTGGGCGATGGCCCGCCCTTTTCCTGAATGCTGCTGGGCTTCTTGGGAGAGCTGGGCGTCTGCAATAGAAGGTCGATGGGCTACTCTAAAGAAACAGCCGTTTCTATGGCGACTCAGTGAATGTTTCACCCATTTTCCAAAAGTACTCCGCCCCAGCATTTACGCGAGCGTTCGATTTGATCGACGTACCCGAGTGCATGATTTGATGGAATGCGTCTATATGAGCCACCACTGGCCTGGCTATTAATAAACGCTGCGTGAGACCCGCAAGCCTTTGAAGATTTGTACAGATTCAGGGCCCGGTATGAGAGATGCAAAGCCTTGTCAATGTGTTTAACTGGCCTAGTTGGTACCGATTTGATGAATCCATGGTACTGGTGACCGTTCAATGCAGACTCCACAGAACGACGCTAGTGGCTGTTTTGTGTCGTTCTCTGTACCCCCACAAAAAAGAAATAAAGAAAAAGTTGCAACACAACCTTTCTTTCTTCAGAAATGCTAGAGATGTGCGGGATTTACAATACATCAAGACATGTGACAAACTTTGTTCAGTCCCCCAATAGACAATCAGTACACACTTGCTGCAGAAAGGATGCACACCCCGTGTAGCTATAAGACGCAGCATGCATGCAGCATGTCCACAGAAATCTTGAAAAACATCTATTATCAATTTTCTTCGGTTAAACACCCCCTTCATAAAAACTTGGGGGTGGAGTCAAAGAAGGCCTTTAGCCGACGAACCTGCTTACGACAGTCTGTGATGGCCACAATTAGCCGGCTGCTTTCTTCATAGTGGATAGTAAGTTGGACTTACTATCAGAAGAAATACAGGGACATAGGCCACGAACGATGTTTTCTTGCTAAATTGGGACAGAGATGCACGAGGGTGAGCAATATTAAAGGCATGTCTAGATTTTTTGTCAAGGCGGAGGGGAGGTCAACCATACTTTACGAATGTGCGTTGGCAGTCGTATGGTGCGTGTATATATGCGCAAGTAAAATTAAAAATTTTCTTAAGCCCCCCCCCCCCCCCTTTTGGCTACGCCCCTTAGCACTACACACGTGACATAGGAGATGAGCGCTCGTCTTAGCTCGCCCTTTTATTGCGGCCCCAAGTTCGTTTTACAGCAATAATTGTAACATGCCAACTGGTCATGTCACCACCCTTCAAAAAAAAAATTTCTCTGATCTGCCATCAGAGATGCGCACTACATTGCCATAGTAGCATTTCAAAAGCAATTGTCTGTTGAAGCTTTGTTAGAACAATAAACTTGAAGGTTCCCACCTATTGGCAGGATTGTTCACTGTGTTTAACGATTTATACCATCCCAATCTGTGGCGATAAAACCACTTCGTATATTCAGTAGCAAGCTTGTTCACCTAAGTTTCCTAATTACTGTTAACAACTTATTTTATTGCATATCATATTGAAACCCCTTCCATTACTTCTTTGTACTTTAGTAGAGCGAGCAATTGGGCATGTTGGCGATTGAAAATTTCGATTTCATCCGTGCGGAATACAGGTGTTTTAGTATTTATCCTTTTCTTTGATAAGGTTCCCCCCAGACGTCTAAATTCAAGTACGAGAGTCGCTCAGTACACGCGATACAGAAAGTTCGGTACCAAACGAAGCAGGAGCAGTTCTTTCAAATTTGAACTTTTGTACGAATTTCCGCGTGCGTGTATAAGCAAAAAAACATACAGGTAAGATAGAAAGTGAAAATCTATGAATGAAGTTTGAACGTTAAGGTGAAACCTAAGTTGCAAACTTATGAACTCCACGGAACTGGCATTTTACCAAATTTAATTACCGTCGCTTACACCCATCTAGATTTACGCGGTTTGTAAAAGTGAAAAAATAATCGCCTTCGTTTTAGAGAAAACAAACTTTATTCCTGTGGTGCACGCAGCATTCTAGTTTTGTTCGCTGGCAAGGCACGCAGGAGTATCAAACAAGCAACACCCACCTTGGCCTTTGCATCCGCAGCTGCTGAAGTCTCTGCAAAAGTAAACGCAAAATAAGATATTAATATCCTTCCAGCTGCTAAAAGCGAAGAGCGCGGCATTCCAGGCTCGTTTGGAAATTATCTTTCTTGGAGAATTATTGTCTTTGTCCGTGTTTTGAGAATTTTTGATTACCGAGAAACACTTAACCTCGGTGAGATTAAGTTTTGCTGGAATGCGAAGCGTGATTACAATTTGGAAGGCTATATAGCGAGCGAAGATTGCTTAAATGACCCTAACTACACTTGTGCAAAAACGATCTGAGGCAGTGCTTCCAGTGAATGCCGCTCAAACACGACAAAAAGAAGAGAAAAAATATGGAGGCACTTAAGGCGTTCGAGAGAATATGAAACTTGAGCTGCGTTTGTTGAACGAAATGTTGCCTTTATGGAGATGACGTTAGGATCTTAGAAAAAGTGGTAGTTTATACTTTTATATATTGATGCCGAAACGAATTAGTGTTGCCTCTGAGGATGAAAGAAAGCTCTAGGCCTAATAATTTGAGACTTGCCATTATTACTACGATGATTAACCTTAGATTCAGTCAGTTAAGAAAAGGCATGAACGTGACACCGTAAGAACCAGCTAATGTGGATTAAATGGCCGTTATTGTTGAGGTCCCTGCTTTTTGCTGGCGTAAGGATTTCAAGTGAACGAACGTAAAATAAATATCACACTGAAAGAAAGCTTTCTGGCTGCGAGTGAATTAGTTTTCTAATCATAGATATGTGATACGTAAGAATTTTTTTCAATGTCGTGTGGAATGGAACGCTGAAGAAGAAGATTCGTGTGCTATGTAGAAATGTGATGATTGAAATAAGCAAAATTCGGTAACAGAGCAGAAACATTGTCATACTCTCACTAGAAGCTGATTGCCTTGAAGGTATAATAAATACCTCGAAGGTATAATATAAAATAAGACATGCAGTGACTATGAAGTTAAACTGAAGCGGACTTCGGAACTGTGCAACAGAAGCAGAACCGATAACTGTAACGGAGGTTTGCATTGAAAGCATATGCCACGAAACTCATTACTGCTATCAAATATTACAATGCTGGAATGAAAACATTTAATACTTCTTCCAGCTATGAAATTTATTTTGGCTTGGAATATGCCGTACATATTTCTAGCCTGTTATGCTTTTTAAAGCTAAGATTTTTTATTGTTTCCACTTAATGTCGCAACCAGTAAATTATGATTATGTACGTTACTAGAGTGGAACCGCGCTAGTATTCTTCAGTGCCGTAAAAGGAAATAAAAAGCTACTGCCTATTAAAAAATGAAACACTTGAGAAGGAACTCCGTAAACGTTAGATATTCTGTAACTGTAAAGTCCCTTACGACGTATCAGCATTGTTTACCATTGTGAAAACAGCTGCTATGGTTTTAGCATTTACGAGTTAGCAAGAAAGGTTGCGAGGTTTGACAAAATACATAACTGGACTGAGCTGCGCTCGGGCACTGCGACACACACTTCAGACAAGTTACCAACGTTTGTTCAATGTGGACCGCGAATGAAACTTTGCAAAATGCTTTACGCAAAGAAAGCAGGTTGAGGATGACGAGTTCAACGCCCATTACCACACAGATAAGCTGGTTGGAGTAGTAGCCTGAATGGAGGCGTGTCATAGACGACAAAGAGTGCATGATGATTCTTGCAGCTCCGTAAGTGCTTTGCCTCTCACACCATGCCTAAATAACGTGAAAATGTGTGGTTCAGATAGTAGATGGCGATGCATCTGAGACATTGGGTTTGACCATAGTGGTGTGTGCAGCCAGCCCGTATCTCCTATTCGTGCCCGCGTTGATCTGTTCAGTGAGCATACAGCATTGATCATTGTTATAGTTGTGTTTTCGAGGGTTCATAGGTCGCTGCGCGCAAGCCCCCTATCAATATCTTTTTTTCTTTCTCAAATTTTGCATGTTTTTTAGCAGTACAGACTATAGTAGTTCGAACCATAGCAACTACTTTCATAGAAATCTTTATTTGTATATAACCTAATATAAGGTATGATATTCTCGTAGAAAATGTTAAGCTTTAAGGAATATTTCGTGGCTTGGTTCAACATTTATTGTTTAAAAGTGATATAACCTCGCCGTAAAGATACTTGCACTAAATTTAAAAGATCAAAGCGAACAATACTATAAATAGTTTGCATTCTTATAACCCACAGGTACGTTTTTAAGGCAATGTTTAAAGTGGTTAAAGCACGCAGTTTAGACAAGCTAAGATGATGCTGTCTTGAACGGGAATCGTTTAGCCCGATGTAGGTTTTATTATTGCCGAAGTGTGACAGGTAGTCGCCAAAGACAGTTGCAGCTTACATAGCGTCGCGTTTGGCAAACATTTTTTTCTAGTGCTAGTTGCAGCTTAGTTTGTTCACGACATTATCTCCGTGAGCTTTGTTGTAAGAATATTCTTCACTATTGCAATATGTAAGCGCTTCACTCAAACTAAAACAAAGCATCCAAAAAAATGCTGATATGTCTAGACTAAAGGGGCTAGCCATGTTGCCACAAAAGAACATTAAGTGTATGATAAATATAACTCCATTTGTAATTTGTCAAACTCGATCCGAAAAATTTCAGGCATTCTCTGAAAGCCCACTTCGTTGAACTTGTGGATGAGAAGCAATCATTCAGAATTCTTCATGCACTAGCTTGCTTTGTGAAAAGTTAGCAATTATCGCGGCCTTTCTTTAGTATGGCAGTCTCCAAATTAGGACGCTTTTTATTGTTCATCAGCTCTAAGCTTTAGTTACGACAGCATCTGTTTTCGGCGGTACACTTGACGCAACAACAATAAAATTGGCCAACCTTTCAAACTGTTTCTTCAAAAGATAAGTACAATATTAGTTCTTTGGAGGAGAGTGTTCGAATTTCGGGATATAAACGCGTGCGGCAGACGGCCAATGTCATAAACCTGAGGCTCCTGGAACAATATCGACACATCTTCCGGTTAGTGCACCTCCAGAAACAAGCGTCAAGGGAAACTGTTACCGACCTTCTTTACGACGCTAAGGAAATCACTGACCTTTTGTCAGCCATCTTTGAAAGGGATACGCCAGCAAGTACGGCAAGCCACGCGCCGCGGTGCCCTGCATTTTCCTCCTGCGCTGTACCACTCGTCGGTAAGGATCGTGGCGCAAGAACTCTCACCGCGTCTTTCGGGAGACGAGAAGGCCGTGCGGCGCTCACCGTCGTGCTTAGGTGTACCACGCCGCGCGGTATACTGCTGCCGGAACACACGTGCCGTGTCATTCTCCACCCACGAGCGCGCTTTGTGCTTGGAAGCTGAAACTCGGACGCGTCCGGCACGAGCGGAGATCCTAAACGACCAAGGGCAGAGTCGTGAGCGGACCTCATTGGCCACGCGTCTGCCACCGGCCGTGCGACCCTCGTCGCTAACAGAGGCAAGGCCACGGAGTTGAATTTTTCTGGCAGGCTACGCCCAGTCGCGGATTTTACGAGAAGGTATAAAGGGTGTCCTTATCATTTTTACGCGTTGTTTGCATTCTTTCTTAGTTTCATATCATTTTTAACAGCGCCATGTAAGCCTACATTGACTACTATATGCTGTGCAAAATTATTGATTCGTATTCTGAGCGCAAGCACTACAGACGGGCAATGCTTACTCAATTTTCTCGTGCCTTTCATACGACTTTTAATTTACCGAGTTGTACATGAGCAGCACACGGCATATGTTTTGTCACATGCAGAAAGCCCCTTCAAAGACCAGCAACAATAAAGCGCAATTGGCTATCACTAAGACTACAACACATTTGTTTTGTTGTATATAGAAGCACAATGAGCACACACTGTATAGCACTCTAGTGTTTGTATGCAGTCTAAATGACAATTGTCTAGAGCGACTAATTGGCTGCTTCAGGGGCTGATTTTTGCAAAATACGCTCAGACCAAAGCTACGATGATGCTACGCAGAGTGATACTGCATGCTAGGTCTTCTGCTGTATTTAAACCATGAATAGAAGTTTGTAACTAACGCAAGGTAGACGCTGCGAATAATGCTAGAGCACATAGGCACTTTAGTGACCGCTACAGACATGTGCATTCAGACAGGGCGTACTTGGTCATGTGAAATTTACGATGTGCTCTAAAACTGGCAGTCTATCCAGACAACTGCTCTAAACTTATCGTGAGCCTGGCACCACGCTTTCTCGTCATTTGCAGCCTGAACAGTACTACTTGTAAGCACTAAATAGAACCGAGATTGGTGAATGGGCTATGGCGTGGGCCCACCTTTTTTGTCGAGAGTCTTCGGTGGACCTTTGCCCGTCGCACGCTTGGACGGGGATTTGGGCAAGCCGGTCTTCTTTTTCACTGCTTCTGCAGGCGGCGCTGACTCGAGTTCGGAAGGAGCTGCCCCGTCATTGGTTTCTTCGCTCTTTGCCTCGGACGCTGCTTCTACCGCTGGCTTTTCACTTTCTTCGGCAGGTTCAGAATCTTTCTTCTCTTCGTTGGTAGCTTCGGGTGCAGCTTCAGTGGCAGGGACTGCTTCTTCACCACCTTCACTCTTTGGTTGCTGTTCCGTCACTTCCTCAATATCCTCTGGCATGACACTGCTTGGCTCCTCACCTTCTTTTTCATCAACTTCACTCTTTGTTGTTGCTTCTTTTGCCTCCTTGTCGCCAGATTCAGGTGCTTCCTTTTCTGTCTTTTCTTTTTCGCTCTCATCTGTAGACTCGGGTTGGGCTGCTTCTTCCTTGACTGCTGTAGTATAGGAAACATTGTCTGTCTTCACTACTGCTTCCTCAGAAACTTCCGCTTTGTCTTTGGTCACTTCTGGAACGCCTTCTTTGGATTGAGCAGTGACAGGAGCTTCTTCCGGAGTAGCATCTTCTGGAGCATCTGACACTGCCTTTTCTACTTGCCCCTCTACTGTTTCTTCCACCAACTTAGTTTCTTTTCCTTTGTCCTCTGGCTTTGACACAGCTTCTGCAACTTTTGGCTCTGCAGCTTGTTCTTTTGCAGTACCCTCGTCTTTCTTTTCTATTTCTTCTGGAGGAAGCTCTCGAACTTCGAGCTCATCTGGCTCCCTCGCTACCTCCTTTGGTACGTTTTCAGTCACTACTTTTTCTTTCGACAAGGTGTCTCCGGTTTCCTGTGCTTGTAACTGCCCACTGACGCCCGGTTCCAGAGAATCCGCAGGTTTGTACGTGTCTTTTTCTGCATCGTCTTCGTTAGCGCGTTCGGCTTCCTTCAACGGCTTGTCACTCTCTGCGGCGACATCATGAACTTGCGTGGTTTCTTCCTTCGCCGAACCAGGCTCGCTGGACTTCTCTGCAGCATCTGAGGCACCTACCTCTTTAGAGTCATCGTCCATGGCAACGTTCTCGACTTTTTCTGCATTTTTTTCCTTCTGCTCCTCTTCAATGTCGGCATCTATCGCCTTCTCCTCCTTTCGTTCGACACTATCCTTTGGCGGAGCCGTTTCGGTGACCTTGCTTTCCTGAATAGCAGCTTCAGGCTTTTTACCTGACGTCGTGTCATCGACGTTTTCGACTTTGCCGGCTGCTTTCTCTTCTTTTTGAGGTGCTTCCGTTTGTTGCGTAGTAGCAGGTGAGGGAAACACTTCTGTCTCGTTTTTCTCAGGCTTCTCTTCTTTAGTGACCTCTTTGCTAGCTATAACCGTTTCTTCCTGGGAAGCTTCCACCACTGATGATTTTCGCTGCTCACCTACTTTCTCATCAGCACCACCAGCAACTCGAGATTCATCGTGCTCTTTTTTGGGATTTGCGTCTGTTTTGGCGTCTGGTTCTGCACCTGACACGGTGGACTTCAGATGACTGTCGCCCAAACTCTTCTCGGCCTTATTTGCTGCGGAATGCGGTTTGCTGGCTTCCTCTGCTTTCGTTTCATTCAGATCGGAAGGGTATAACTGCGCTCTGATTGCTTCCTCGTCTAATAGATCGTTTAATGCACTGGCGCCGCTGGAGTATGCTTCTCTAGGCGCCGATTCTTTCCGTATTGCATCCGGGTACGTCATCTCCATCATGCCAGTATGGCACGCCGTCATTGGCATAATTGATTCGTCCACTTCTTGCAGCCCCGTTGCCACTAAAGGACTATTTTCTTTTAGTCTATCCACTGGGGATTCCGGTGTTTGGGCCTTTTGCCGTTCGACCTCCTCAGTTTCCTGTCGCTCTTTTGCATTATCCTTTCCCGAGCTAGTCCTTGGTGGTGCCTCGTATACTGGTGGTGGCGGAATGGAAGATTTGGGCCTAGTGTCGTCCGGAACCAGCTGTTTAGCATCTTCAGCGGGTCGTAAACTCTCGCCGTCTCCACTGGGACTCACATGTTCCTGCGGAGGCTTAGTGCCGGCGTCCGCGACAGATTTACACGTCTCGGGGGACAATCCGGCCGCCGTAAGAAATGGCTTTGCGTACTCCGTCTTGCCTTCGGCCACCTCTGCAGCGCTCAAGGTGGCTTTTGCTTGTTCGCTTGGGGCTGCATCCGGAGCTGCGCTACTGGCTTGCGCCGTTGGGGTTTCTTCGTGAGCCGCACCGGCCGCCACGGTGACGTCTGCACTTTTGGCACCGGTCTTCTCTTCCAATGTTTCGTGATATTTTTGGACGGCTTCTGCCGCCTTGTCTTTCGCATCACTGTCTTTCACTGCTTCAACGTCCTTGTCAGGTTCCTTAGATACGCTACTATCACTTTGGGGTTGCTTTTGCTGCTTCTCTTGCGAAGGCACTGCACCGTCTCGATCGGCCACTGGGGCCAGCTGAGACACCTCATGCGATTCCATTTCTGGTCCCACTCGTTCCGCTTTGTCCTCCATCACAGGCGTCTTTACTGGCACTTCGGTAGAGACTCTTTTTCGCTCAAGATATGTACTGGGGACGTCACCGGATGATTTCTTCTCGTCAGACGAAGGGCTCTTCGCCGGAGACACTGGCTTCTCGCCCCCTCCGGCGGCAATCACTGATGGTTCCGGTGCAGTCCTTGCGGAATCACCAACCACCTCCTGTGGTGATGAAGGCTTCGCTGGTTCCTGAGTTGCTCCACGAGTGGCGTCTTGGGCGGTGGCGACGTCCGCTGTCTTTTGGAGGACGTCATGATGACCTTGTGCTTGGTCAGCCGCTGTCGTGGGAGGCTTGGCGCTAGCTGCGGCTGGGGCTGTGTCGTCGCTTCTCGCTGCTGTCTGGGCGGCACTCGGCTGGTACACTTCCGTGGCGCTAGCCTTGTCCATGCGGCAGTGGTGTCTGCGCGCAATGAGGACACGGACATCTTTCAGAGGCCAAAGCTGGAAACGACAATGGTGTCTCACAGAAGGGTGGTGATTTGGTCTAGTTACTACATGAAGCGTACGCATTAGGCACCAAGAAAAACCACGAAGATGAGGGAAGGCAAAAACTTAAGTAATTGTCGACCCCCTTTAGCATCCTTATTTTCTTTGCGCGTCACCCTCAAGTTTGTAGTGCAACACACTTGGTGGAAATAGAAGAAAGTGGCACAGGCTTTGTTAATATATTACGAAAACAAAGAAGGAAGTAATCGATTCGACACTTTTCCTTTGTTGTTCCCTTTATGTCTGTCCACGAATGGCACCTTTGTGGCTGCATGGCACGCTTTTCCATAACGCTAACAATTAAAAGTTTCTTGTTTTATTACGCTGTTGCTCGTTTTCGTTAGGCCTATAGATCACAGATAACTTCGAAAAGCTGAAGTAAATAATTTACAACATCGCATGGTGACTTTATGAAACGCACGTTTGGCCATCGTATCTAACTCTCATCGTATATATGGAATGTACGTAAAGTGCTTGAAGCCTGCAACAGATCAAGAAGCGGAAGGCAAAAAGGAGATGAGCTTATTCGAAACTGCGTTTCAGGGTGGCGAAACTCGGGTCTTGTTGAACGCTCTTCGGAAAATGCTGGTGTATCAACTTCAATGAAGGAGTATAAAACAACTGGCTATAAAATGATGTCATTATAGACTTCTCGATTAGATGTTTATTACCCTTGTAGACAACTCTCACCACGTTTCGCAGCAAACTATTAGCTGTTTACTGCCATCCACCAAATCCACCGCGGTGGCAACTTGAAGGTCTCGGATTCGATACTGGGTGATCACATTCAAGCGGAGGCGGAGTGCTAGAGACTCGGAACTGTGCGATGTCAATGCGCGCGTATGAACACCAGATGGTCGAAATTTCTGAAACCCTGCATCGTGGCCTCCTCCTCATCCTCCTCCTCATCCTCCTCCTCCTCCCCCCCCTCCTCCCCTCCTCCTTCCCCTCCTTCTTTTCTTCTTCTTCTTGTTCTTATTAATATTATTATTATTATTATTATTATTATTATTATTATTATTATTATTATTATTATTATTATTATTATTATTATTATTATTATTAAACTTTTTGCAGGTAAGGATGGTTTGAAAATGAGAGTGGCTGATGGTGTCTTGCTCGCGAGAGTGGCAATTACTGCGAATAGGAATGGAAGGGAGAATGAACAAGTAAGTCAAGTCACTCGTAGTTACATGGTTATATGAAAACAGACAGCGGTACATACGAGAACGTTTTATCCTTCTAGCAGGATATGCTTTCACCATTAGAAGGCGTAGCCATGCGGTCTGGACAAACTCTTTGTTGAAAAACTTGAAAAAAAGCGACGAAGGCTAGGCACACACATGTGCGCCGATGAGTCGTGTGCCCATGATAATGTGATAATGTAGTCCATCGGTGATACATCGAATCTGCGATTTCACGGTGAGTTACGCATCATCGCCACTCCACTCTGTACTTGAGAATACTTTAAAAAAATGAAAAGGAACGGCGAATGCGTGTATTCATTTATATGCATAATTTTTTGAAAGAAATGATTACTAAGGAGACCCATTAGTGCCCTCTACGGACTTGTGTATCTGTGCAGTTCGATTTTCCTGCAGCTTCTCTTCTAGTGGACCATGCTTATCGTGTTACTGTCATTGTATATATATATATATATATATATATATATATATATATATATATATATATTGCATTTTTCACCGCAGCTTTCAGAACGTCACCATAACGACTTAACAACTGAAACATCCTTGCGCGGCGGCGGATACAACCTTGATGGCTTTTTTTGTCAATTCACCAGGGATGAATGAAAGGTACGAAAGCAGCATTCGGGAAAGGGGTCATATCGCTGGTCCCATGGTGTTTACGTCGCTTTTCTGGTTTTAGAAAAGTACCATGCTACGACGCGTGATGTAAAAAAGGAAGAGGAAAACAATGTATATCCATGTATACAAAATGGCCATAAATACCTCTTTTTCAACACGCAAGTGTTTCGGCCGGGGTCCACTAAGACGTCACTCATGTATTTTCCTCATAAGTATGACGTCGTTAAAATTTACATAAACAGCATGCGAAGGAACAAAGCACAAGAAAAAAAATTCCGCCATATCCACGAAGTGAATGATGATGAGTGGGCGAAGCTCCGGAGGTAAACCTGGTAAACCATGAATCCTCTGTACATTTTGCCCACTCGATTTTATTACATCGCTCCCCCTAGCGTACGTCGCCGCACTAAATCGAACGATTGCCTTCAACCAATGACACGCGTCATATGTGACATCATTCCTATTTTATAAGATCTCGCGTCTTTCATCAACTACAAGTACCGCTTTCTAGTTTATAACATCTTGCATCTTTTCATCATCAGCTACAAGTACCACCATCTAGTAAACACAACAAGAACTGAACGAGAGGTGGCTACATACAGGAGACGGTACCGCCATCTAGTGAACACTGCAAGAACTGAACTAGAGGTGGCTACATACAGGCTACAGGGGACGCACAGCCCACGCCCTAAGGAGCTTCGCCCCTAAAAATCACAGCATATCCACGGAATGAATTATGATAAGTGGGCCAACCGTCCGTCCGTTTGTCTGTCTGTCTGTCCATCCATCTATGTGTCCGTCCCCCCGTTCGTGCATGAGTCCGCCCAATCGTCTGCCGGTCCGTACATCCGTCCGTACATCCGTCCGTCTGTCAGACTGATACTGATGGTTACGCCTGACGAAGGACAAAGTTATAGTGAAGAAGCTTCACCCCTAAAATAGTTATGAGACTTGGAATCAAACCCACGACCTCCCGAACAGTCGCAATAGGAAGCGAGCGCTTAGTCGGCGCATTTCGGAAGCACTGTACGGACGCGCCTAATATATCTCCTACTCCTTCACTGTGTACTCGCGCTCTCCATTTGCTGGGGTGTTGGCGCCGCCTAAGAGTGTAGAAATACTGCATTATGACACCGAGAGAGAACGATGCGGTAGTCCGAGCTCTTTGTTGCCTCGATGCCAACATTCGAACGGATGTCAGCACCATAGCGGCCTACCAATGCCACCAAAGTGCCATTGTCCCTACTTGAAACAAACTGTAGCATTGACTCCGCAATCAGCTCCGACAAAGCTTTCAGGGGCTGATTTCGCAGGCCACTAACGCAGTCGATGATTGCGATGCTCTCTACGCACTAATTTGACTCGGTGATGACGACGCAGTCACGTGCTTCATCTCACGCGTTGTGCAAGCCTGTGCGGTATATAGTGCAGCTTCGAATGCAGCAATGGTGTATCTCCGCCATCTATACTGAGGGCGATTGTACTAACTACAAGGACTGTTGCGTTAAGCGTATCGTTGGTACAACGGTGTCGACGGGTGAATATAGCACATGTGAGATCGGTGCTGCGATAGACATGCCAGGGGGGAGCGGGAGGCCTTTGGGCATTCACGGCACAAGCACTGTCTCTCGTGTTGGCGAAGTGAGCATGGCGACCCAACTGGCTACAACGTAGAAAGCGATGCAAGACCGAAATGATTATATCTTCACCTATCAGCAGAACACTGCTCGCAAACAAGACGCTGCATGCCTATCCACTTGACAGTCACCAATCCGCAAATCATGATTCTTCGCTGCAGCAGCCTGTCAGTTCAAAAACTGTTGAGTGAAAACCTGTTTGCTTTTGCTTGAATGGTTTGCGAGCAGCTGTGGTTCAATTGTGACTTGCGCAATGCTCCGATGCGTGCAGTGTCTCCGGAAAGTTTATACCGGTCACAAGTCGTTGGTTGTCGTGGTGTAGAAGATGCGTCACCATGTGTCAGCATGGGTGCATCAATATTCAAGGGTGATGTTGCCACTAAACACCAATAAACCTTGTATATCATTGTACAATAAACATTGAACTGCTTGTGCTCAGATTTGGGTTCACGTTAACGAACCCCAGGTGGTATCAATCATTAAACATTAAACTGTTTCTCGGAAAACACGTTTCACTTTCGTCTGTGTTAGTGATTCCTGTATGAAATGAATCAACGAATTTTTTTATTTTACTTTACGCTTACCCAATCCCATTAAAACTCACAGAATACCTTAAGGCTTGTACACCCGCTATCCGCACAGCCGCTCTTCACGTGCCGGCATACCTGCCGCACGCGAGCTGCACGTGTAGAGCCGGTACGTGAGGTGTGTCTGTGCGGATAGCGCGTGTACAGGCCCTTACACATTCACCTTGGGTGACTGGACAGCTGCAAGCCGTTTTCACTTTCGTCCCCATCGATGTACTTATCCGCTTCCGTACCTGTCGTGATTTTGCACGGCCTCCCGGATCGGGGGCATCGCAAGCTTTCTGCAGCTCGTCCGGTTTTCGCCCTGCCTCAGTGACGGGTCCCGCGTCTGACCAAGCGGTGATGTGATGCGGTGACGCCATCGTGTGACGTCACGTTTGTGGCGTTATCATGACGTCATGAGAATATCACAAATTTTCGTGATATGTGGTGTCATGATGAAGTCATCAGGTGATGAATTTTTTGCAACTCGTGTCAATTGCGGTGGTAAGCTTTTCGTGTTTGATGAGGCTTCTGAGGTTTCCGCTTTGAAAAGGGAAAAATCGAAGTACTATGACTACTATGGAAGAGCTTTACGCTTATCTTTGGCAGTGTTTCGTATGTAAAGCGAGCTAGTCTGTATGATTGGCCAGCGACATCACGTGATCTGAATTCACCGATGGAATTCAATTGCACTCACTTACAGCTGGTTGGCCAAGGCCACATCACATGACCTGCCGTCTCGGTCAATAAATTCTCTAGGAGAAATATGCGGACACCAACTACTGCTACTGTTACAGCACAGACTAGCCTACAACAGCTTGACTGTATAAACGTTCTGTCAATAGGCGCGTTGAGACCAACGTTAGCGTATAAGCGTGTATT